CCCTTTAAACCTCTAGCCAATGTATAATAAGGAAACACATAGTAATACGTTTATTAGAAAAAATAATGTTCATATACTAAAACAAATGAAAGCAAAAATTAAAAAAAGTAAAATAACCAAAATACCGAACTCAAATGAAAATTGAATGTGAACAATCCAAAAAAACTTTTCCGAACGGAGAGGCATAGATTTAATGAATATTATTGCCGAATACGGTATTAACGGTTAGCTTCAATGCGTTAAGTTATGAACGCGAATGGTTTTATAAATTTAGCTAAATCTAACTTGCAACAATATAAATTTTGAAACAACTAAACTTTTATAAATTTTCATACAAATATATTCTATTGGAGCTATAAATATACATTGTTTTGACAGTTTCCGTTGAATATTGCCAACCTTAGATATATCGGTCCCCCTTTTCTCGGTTGCCGTTAAAGTGTGAAAACATATATTAATAGATAGCGAGTCATTTAGTCCGTATTATTCAATCCAAAATTATCCCAAAAACGCGGAATCCCTCTTAAATTGATGAAATCTGGATCGCCTTGAAATAGACGAAATATTTTGGCAAAATTCTTTTAAAAAATGCACGTATTTAACGAAAAGAAGACTGCGACAGACTCTTAAGACGAAAGGGAACTTCACGGCTTAAATTCTTATTTCATTTTCTTGCTACTGATTATAAATTAAGGATGTTCGCTTGTCATGTTTTGGAAAGTTTGTTAGAATTTCAGAATCCTCTGATCTCGTTTAATCTTTTGCCCGCCAACTCCCAGCTTTCTTTTCAAAAATCTTTTGCCTGTACAATATGTCATTGACACGTTTTAGTTCTCAAAAAGTATTAAAATATAACAAGGATAACAAGGCATTTGTGAAAAAGTATAAAATCCTTGTTATATTTTAATACTTGTTGAGAACTAAAACGTGGCAATGATAAAGTCATGAAAAATGAAGAGAGAACATTTTTTCCGCCAAATTTACTTGGCTAATATCTCGAAAACAAACACATGAACCTATATTTATTTTTTATTTGTTTTGCTCTTTTGTCAATCCCCTATCAATAAATAACAGAGTAATGAAAAGCTTGTTGTTTTGAAACTGAGAAACAAACATCCTTTTATTGTCTTTTTTTTGGCTTCTATATTTATTATATGTATATATATATATTTGAATACACGATAAAGGGTGTAGGTATGAGTGATTTCTCAGTCAATGACCAGTGACGGAACAAGAATTTTGGAAAGGGGGAAGGGCGTTACATTTTTTGGTCCTATTAGCAGTTTGATAGGGGAAGGGGCGGGGGGCTCGGAATAAATTTTGCCAAAAATCCCTGTTAATTCAAAAAAAAGAAGACCCAGATAAGAGGGGGGGGGCCACCTGCCCACCTCAATAAGCCTCAGATGACAGAAATGTTTTTTCATCGTCAGGGACGGAAGAATCACTAAATACCAGTATGTCTTTGGAATGTTATTCAGAATGATATACACGACTGTTATGGGAAATGAACGGCAATAAAATCTAAATTCTTTAAAGGATTCCTTATCTGCTACAACATTCATGCGTCATTGCATTGATAGCATGAAACTGGCACACGTTTCTCGCTAGAATAGCCTACCGGGAGGGTAATTTAGGGGCCATATTCAATTCTTATTCGCCAATAATCAATAATCTTAAATACCAAATTATCCTTACACCCGTTATATTTCTAGTCCGGGGTAGCAGTCGGGAGAAACAATGAGAATTGTTATTGTTTCTTCCGGTTGCACTTCTTAGAAACTACCGCAAAACATTTACAAGGATAAAGTATAGACATCCAAAATTAAAAGTAGGATTTTACCGAGAAATCTTTCAAAAAGGGACCTTTATTCTAAATTTTTATCAAGATATGCTTAATTTTTATAATTATATCACGGACAACACAAGGTGAACAACATAATACAATTTCCAAACAATATCATGAACTCAAGAAATATCTATCAGTGAATAATTTACACTTCATTAGGAATTATCATTTGTATTTGGTTGGGGTTTTTTTTATTTGCTTTGGTTTTTTTTTCTTTGAATTTGTTTTTGGTTGTTTTGAGTCCGTCATAGTTCATATAATTACTCGCCAAAAAGGATCGTCATTTCACAAGACTACAAAATATGAATTTTTGTGTGAAATCCCGGCTACACATCTGTACCAAAGAACTGTTGAGACCCCCCCCCCGTGAAAATGTTTAACAGTAATACTAAAATCATATTGAGGAATGAAGGTAGGCTACACATAATATGCATATACACGTATATGTACATGTTTTATGAATTTAAGGCGCAGTTATTATATATCTATATATAAGTAAGCAGCCTTCCAAAAACGTATGTAGTATGCATGCAATATATAGCGACCTTTATAATTACCCGGTTGGCGGACGTGAAAGAGAGCATCAATTTATTCTCCGTTCACAATCTCCGTAAAGAAATGCGTTTTTTTTTTTTTTTTAACATGTGACATTCTTTTGATTTCCTTAACTTTCAATTACTGTAAATGTATATATAATTGATGCGTTTTGTTTTAATCTGTGTTAAAAAGGCGTTTACCATAACGTAATAGGTGTTTGCACATGGCGTAATAGGTGTTTGCACGTAACTTAATAAGTGTTTGCACTTAATGTAATAGGTGTTTGCATATATCTTAATCGGTGTTTGCACATAATGTATTAGGTATTTGTACTTAACGTAATAGGTGTTTGCACATAACGTAATAGGTGTTTGCATATTACGTAATAGGTGTTTTCACATTACGTAATAGGTATTTACGCATCGTAATAGGTGTTTGCACATAATGTTATATGTGTTTGCACATATAATACCAGGGGACCTCGGTGGCCGAGTGGTCTAAGTTGTTATTACTTTAATCACTAGCCAGTCAACACTGAGGTTGTGAGGTGCGGATGCACTTGACTCCAATCTTAATTGACTAGGATTGTCAGTTTTCCTATTGAAGGTCGGTGGTTTTCTCGGGGCACTCCGGGCTTCCTCCACCAATAAAAACTGGCCGCCACGAAATAGCCCAAAAGCGGTGCTTAAAAGTGGCGTTAAAACACGAAGAATAAAATTAAATCATAACGTACCAGTAGATTCACATGACATATTGAATGTTACCAGAAAGTATTAATAATTATTGTTTGGCAAAACGCATATAAGCTATAACATGATATATTATATTTTTCACAGAAGATACATATGTATAGACACAACATAAAGCCATTATAATATGATATCAAGACGTTTTCATAGAACAAAGATGTATCAAAACAAAACGTTTAGAACATTCAACATAACAATCCCATTTGAGACAGGACGCAATTATTAACTGACTTACTTAAAGGAAATGTGACAGAACGTAAAGGTGGTTGGTCATAACGTTTAGAGGTATTCACAGAATACACGATAGTTAATACAACATAATGTAATGCATATTGCACATAAAAAAGAATAGCAATGATATATCATACAATTGTTTGACAAAACAAATAATTAATTTGACATAACACAGAGATGCAGTGTCAGGAAATAAAGGCGCTTACACATAAAATAAAGATGATATGACAGGACGTAAATTATACAAAGCGACAAAACACATTAAATATTTACACTATAAGACAGTTACGGCGTTCCATACAATAACGATGTATCTTTTTTATCATGTCAACACTATTCAAATAAGGGGACGACCATTTGATATTCTGGGGGGGGCCAGGAGGATTTTGAAAATAAATAACTCAGCCTTGATAATCACAAAAATAAATGGTTTGTTCTGTGGTAGTTTGAAAATAAATAACCTGACTTGCAATGTATTAAAAATAAATAACTCGGCAGGTCTATTTGAGAGCATGAGATTGCACCAGATTCTTCCTAAAATTCAACTTTTTTAAAAAAAAAAAAATCGGGAATCACTTCCCAAATCTTTGAATAATAAAAGTATAAAAATTATTTAAAATACTTGAAATGTCTGAAAAATGGGTTTCATTTAACTTGAGGTATATTGTCTCAGGAACACTTAACTCACTTTTATTACATATGGCAGTAACTACATTCAGGCAAATGCCTCATGTAGGAAATTTCAAAACCAAAAGCTTGTCTTCATATCAAATTGTTTTTGCGGCAAGAAGCAAGTTCTGTTCTCCCTCAGACGTAGCTCCTGTTTTTTGGGGATCAATGTTTCTTATTTATTTGTCTTTTGTTCATTGATTGCCTTCTGTATTCTGTTAGTGTTGCATTCCTTTTGTAATTTAGTAATTTTGTTATTAACTTGATCAAGAGTTTAAAAAAAAACAGCAGCCACATACTTAACTATGTGAATTAAATTTTTGCTTTATCTTTGTCTTTTGATGTTGTTCCTAAAAACTTAAGTCTTACACTGAATCTATACATGTTGCTTTGAGACCAAAATTTGTCAAAAAATTATTAAAACAGAACCTTCATTTTCAGATTAATAAAGGGTATGGGAAACACATTTTGCATAATTAGTTCTATAGCAACTTGGGGACTTCAGCGGCTCCAAAACCCTTCAAACTTTTTTTAGCCTCGCTCCGCTCGGCATACATCAATTGGAATACTTAAAAGACGCTAATTACAGCCAATCTTTAATATCTTGTATGTATGCAATACATGTATATGCAGTTGGGAATTCAGAAGATTCATTTCTACAGATGATGATGATTAATTCTGATTAAATGGTACATTATGATTGGACTATTCATGTATAATTTATAATAAAAAATGAATTTAAAAATTGTATGTTTTCAAATATTATAAATATAGTTGTGAAAATAAATAATCAGTCCCTTGCTTTAATGAAAATGAAAAATCTTGCTTCAACAGTGCAGAAAATAGATAATCTGTCCTCTTAGTTTACAAAAATAAATAACCGATCAAAAACAAATCCTCCTGGCCCCCCCCAGAATATCAAATGGTCGTCCCCTAAGAACACTTTTTTTTATTCGTAATTTCAGTTCCGCATGTCGATCCCGGTAAGCATATTTTTCTGAATGATACATGTATTAACAAAACTGAGTCAATATTTTTAAAAGCTTTTGAAATAATAAAGCATAGAACAAATAAGTCTATGAAACATATATATATGACTGCATGAATATATTAGGATATTGTAAATATGCATTGCACACTATATTTTATAATGTTGGGATTGTAAATGAAAATATGATGTACATCAAGATTTATACAAAATAGGTGTATAAGGAATAAAACCACTAACTCATAGCCCAATTGCTTTCTATATTAAATTCTGCCATTTCAAGCATTCATAGCTATGGTGTCTGAAGTTCAAATAAAGTGACATTTCATGTCAAAACTATACTTTATTCTGGCTTGTGCTGAAAATTCAACATATCTTTAATTGCATATATATTAGAGCGCACTGGTTCCTGGAAGTTTGGTAGTACAAAAACAGGTACTTCTGTTCTGAGCAACACGACAAATATGCCCTCCTATTTAAATTTCAATATAATTTTTTTATTATATTAAAGAAATTTTCAACAAGGATTCTGCAGTGATCCAAAGTCCTTAAGCTTTTATTTGATACCAAAATTGCCCAAATATTTTACCTATTGACAAAGTTACAGCTATGCGTAAGGATTATTTTGTTTAACATATATATTATGTACTACTTTGTATGTTCTTTCCGACTGGGTCGAATAAGTGATTGTATACCATATACCAAGTATTTCTGGCTGTACCATCAACTAGTATATAATATGTTGTTATTCGCTTTCTTTTTCATGTGACTACTTTTGGTTATCTATTGCTATCTTTTTCTTGTGATGTCACTTGCTGATCTATAAAAATAAGAAGATGTGTTATGATTGCCAATGAGACAACTCTCTACAAGAGACCAAATGATACAGAAATTAACAGCTATATATATATATGTCACCGTACGGCCTTCAACAATGAGTAAAACCCATACCGTATAGTCTGCTATAAAAGGCCCCGAAATGACAAATGTAAAACAATTCAAACGAGAAAACTAACGGACTGATTTATGTACAAAATAATTAACGAAAAACAAATATGAACTAAATATAAACTATTTGTGAAATTAATAGAGAAGTTTAAACGAAACTACTTGCCAGTTACAAATGTATTACATTTTGACAATATTTGAATGTTTATATGAATAAAAGGATATTAGGTGTATATTTTGTGCGCATAAGGCTTAAAACATAAGTTTAATCTTTGAAATTTTCAATATGTTTGTGTTTGAAAGTCACTAGATATACAAGTGAGTAGGTTGAGATTAGGGATATAGGTCAATGAGACAGGACCCCGACGACACAAAAAAAAGACATTCAGAGGTCAACAATAAGCAAGCTCTAAATCACCCCGAGTATAAAGGGTTGTAAAAACATTTAACAACCCAACAGAGACTATTAAAACTTTGTCATGAAAACCACAAAAAATATTAAGATTTTACAAACAACGGCCACCTGACCCGTAACAAGCGCACGAAAATGAAGCGGTGCCAAACTAGAGCTTTAAAATCTCATCCCTCTCCCTTTTAATTTCGATCAGTGGTGTACGCTTAATGAGTTATCATATTCAAATAATGTTATTTTTATTATTATTATCATTATTAGACTTAACTGTAAATTATAACCACTGATAAAGTAATCAATAAATATACCCCTTTTCCCCCGCAGGAAACTGCGCGTTGCCAAAATAGCTGGTTGGTATGTGTATGAACCAAAAATAACCCTTCTTCCCGCGGAAAACTTTGCTTAGGCAATATAACTGTTCTGGTAATGTACACGAAGTGAAAGTAACTTTTTTTTAAATTTTGAGTGCGTTTTGCACGTCGAAGAAATATCTAGTAGTCTAGTTAAAATGGCGGCGACCAGAAAATTCGGTTGCAGTTTTGATTTAGACATCGAAACAGATAGACTTTAAAACACAAAACATGTTACAAAAATAGCATTACCTTATATTTAGTTCAACATAAAACATTTATGGCCTTCATGAAAAGTAAAATATCAAAATTATTAAATCCCGAAAAGATTATTTTCCGTCGGTCCTGCGGACCTTGGTGAAAAAATAGCCTTTTTTCGATTCAACTCAATGAATTTGAATATTAACTGTATATGATTTTTTTTGGTACAATTTGTAAAAGAATGTTACAAACAAAATTTAAAATGACGATGTTCATCCTGTCGTATATATTTATAAAACAATGCATTAAATATTCAAATGCAAAAATGCATTGTATTTGTAATTTCAGGTCCGCCAATCGGTCCTGGTAAGTATATATTTTATTCTGAATCATTGACTGACAGTCGATTGTTTCTTATTTGTTTCAGACTTTCAGTATGCATGGAAATAGGTTTTTGAAATATCTCGTAGTTTGATTAACCGTTGTGTAACACCTGTGTTACCGATGACAACGGAGATGTTCCAATTGTCATAGCCAAAATTCCGTCCCCTTTTCCTCAATTCTCAATTAAGACACGTGACTTATTGATCATATTTCAAAATCGCCGGGTATAATGAATAAAAATATTCCTTTTTTATTCTCTCTGTCGTGGTATTTGCAAAAACGGATATATAAAACAAGGAGATGTGGTATGATTACTAATGAGACAACTATCCACTAGTGTTCAATTGAAGTGGATGTAAGCAGTAATAGGCAAAAAATGTGTGTCTTTTTTAATGGTTTCGTAGTAGATTTGTTCGCTTTGGGTAAAGGGAAACGTATATTCTAATATCCTTAACGATCTTCTGGTTAAAATAGCTATTTGCTACTTCTCCGCTATATGCAACTTTTAGGAGTATGTCGACTCGGAGTGAGAACAGTGTATCATAGAGGGAAAACATATCATCACGAGGACTCAGATCTAGCACGTTAAAAACGTAAAAATCCGAATTAGCGTATGGACAGTGTACAAATTCAGGTACGCTCAGATGAGATGACGATATCATTTTACGGATATGCATCGTTGTTTGCTGTGCTTCATATGTAGACTAGCATGATTATATTGGGCGTATCTAAAAACCAACCTTCAGTGATTACCGCCTTTGAGTGGTTAAAGTTTTATCGGTAAAGCATATATTATCATTACATGTACCAGAATCATATAACATTTTAGATAAATTATTATAATTATAACTTTCTGCTGTATCAGATTTTCTTTTTAAAGAGTATGGATGTATGATGTCTGTATTAGGTTTACAGAGAATAATGGACCAAAAAATAAAGAAAAGACAAAAATGACCAAAACATATGTTGAAAATAGAATTCAATAGGGTGAAAAAATACCTAAAATATTAAAGAATACATAAATAAAGCCCCCCATCCAGATCTGCATGAACTATCCTTTTGACTTATTTATTGGTTTCCGTAATTATTCAACTGAGAATCAAAGCATCATATCTGTGTTATTTCTGTGTAATTTCAGGTCCACCAATAGGTATTCCACCTCCTTGTAAGTATAACCACCAATAGGTATTCCACCTCCTCGTAAGTATAACCTCCAATAGGTATTCCACCTCCTCGTAAGTATAACCTCTTCTAAATGACCAATCAATTATAAGAAGTCGAGATTTCAACTTTTAAAAGAAGAGATATTATTTCAAGTCAAATCGAAGTAGAAAATGTTTAAATTAGTTGAGATCTTGAATTTATCTGAATTTGAATTTCAACATTTTGAAGGGCAAAATTTCTATTGAAAACAAAATCAAAAAAGCATAATAAAAGATTGAAAAGTTAGAAATTGTAAGTAAAAGACGCATCGACTTATTTTTTTTAACTTAAATGATGCCTATTCGCTCTAGCTATGTCCTGTTCTGCACATGCTTCCTTATGTATAACTGTGCTTTGACACTTGGTTTATCTTTTATTCTTTTCTTCGAGGGGGGAGCGGAGTACTTTATGCTGTAATGTTATTGTGTTGCTGCATTTATAATTCACGTATTACATGCGTTTCCTGTTGATATTCATATTAGTTATATTTACTTCATGATTATATTGCCTATATAATTACTGTTTCAGTGAAGAAATGTTCTAAAAATGCACGACCTGTTTGTGGTGCTGATGGAATCACACATTTAAATCTATGCGTAGCCAGACGATTGTAAGTGTTTGATGTATGGGTTCTGTTGATTCATCCAATTCTTCAAATTCCATTTCTATCATTGTGTTACCTTCAACTTCCATGACAATAGATGAACACTATGGTGTATTATCTGATTCTCGATATTTATTAAGTGAAAAGTGTAGGTAGTATGCAACTAGAATAATTCATGCCCTCGTCGACTCCGATTCTCTAAACCTTTCCTGTAGGTGGATAAAATTGTCGCTAGTTTGTTCCCTCGGTGAATTACTGCCCTCGGGAAACCAAGAGTATTCCTGCCACTGTTGTTCCTACAAAATAGGATAGTGAGCGGATTAAAACGACTGGATTATTCCAGTTAGTTAGGATGACGATACCATCCAATCACATTACGTCCAAAACAAAGGTTTCAAGTCTATCAGGCAAAGTATGCCTTAGGCAATCGCATGTCTTAGACGAGAGAAATAATGAGGTGACCTTCATTTTTCCTTTTGAATAGCGGGTTTCTGAACAGATATAGCATGATTGACATCTAGCTAAAAATTCGCTAAAACCAGTGCTTAAGGATCCGTCTTGAACTTGCAGCGAGGTATGAGCATGTGTTCCTTATTAAAGACTTTGAGTGGAAGATCAGCAATAAGACGGCTGTTCTTTTGATTTTAATTTTGTCAAGTGTGTGTAGTGAGTTTGTGTCATGTTTTTTAGTACGTGGTCGTTTCTGGTATACATGTTAATGAATATCGGTAAGATATTATAGCGTAGCTTTGTTATGAATATATGATTGATTGATTGGTGGTAAAGGCCACTTTCAGGAACTGTGATAATTCGTGGAGGTCAGTTTTTATTTGTGGAGGAAACCGGAGGTGCCGGAGAATCACCGACTTTCGGTAGGGAATACTGACAATCCTAGTTATTTAAGATTGGAGTCGAGCACACCTGCCACGCTCGGAATTGGAACTCACAACCTCAGTGTTGACAGGCTAATGATACAGTAGTTCGACTACTTTTTTCATGGACATCTAGAGGTTATCATACGGCTTAAGGACAACAAATTAAAAATCATCAGGAAATCTCTAGAAAAAACAATCTATTTCCTCCCAAGGAGAACAAAACTGTGTGATCCTTCAGCTCCGACAATAATAGACACAAAAAACAAAAAATTAACGATTTATGTAAGAACGTTGAATAAGTTTTATTAAGATAATGTGTACTTTATATTAGCTGTTATAACCTAATGTAAGCAGAACAATTTTCATGATTGCAGTAAATTCATGAACCATCACGGATTGCTGTTATGTAGAACAAGTTAATATTTGCGTTAAGACAGAATGTCAAGGTGCACTTACTCAATATACAAACTTTATTTGTGTGCTTGTTATTCGCTTGAATATATTAAAACAAAAAACAAGCAAACTATATGTGCATTATAAAGCTACAAAAATATTTTACAGCTTAGATAAGGACAACAAAACGGGATAGATATATTGGTAAATACACGTCATCATCTCTCATTATTTAATGTTATTGTGTCTTGCCTTCAGTTGGAATATTGGAGCATATTTATCGTTAAGTTACTGTTTTCAGAGGAATACCAGTACTTTGCAGAAAACAATGTCCGTGTCCCTGTAAATGCAACACCAGTAGTAAACCAGTGTGTGGAGTTGATGGCAACAATTACAAAAATAGATGCATTGCTGTACGCTGCAAGTAAGATTTATTTTAAATCGGCATCTCGTATATATTCAGCTGATCTGTAACAATTCCATCTTCATGCCTTATATATCATGTACTGTGTTATGACGCTAGATTAAAACTGACGAGGAAAGGTAACACCCGGCCACCGAAAGCTTAATTGTGTAGACATAGGTGGTCTGCATATTTACAGATCTAACATTGTTGGGCTGTGTTTTAGACGAATTATATATACAGAATGTGTTTTCAACCTTGTATCACCATCACTGGTGAACCGATGGATAAAATCTGTTGTAGAGTCGTCACTGGTTCAGACGTACTTATGATATAATTATTTCTGTGACTGCATCTTACATCAATTTGTAGGATCCTTTACAATAGATAATTCAACTGATCTGTAACAATTCCATCTTCATGCCTTATATATCATGTACTTATATCTATAATTTTATTTGTGTAATTGTATTAATCTCTGTACTGATTAATCTACACACTCCCATAGATTTGTATGTCATGTGTTGCTATTTATAGGCACTTATATATATATATATATATATATATATATATATATATATAATTCGTCTAAATAACAGCCCAACAATGTTAGATATGTAAATTTGCGTTAGCAAATTTTTTTTTGCTCTTCCCTGGCCGGAATTCGAACTCATGCTACTGAGATATCGTGGCCCCAAATCGCCTTGCACTGTGCCCGGCGCGCTAGACCACTCAGACACCCAGGCTCTACATAATAAAGCTTTCGGTGGCCGTGTGTTACCTTTCCTCGTCAGTTTTAATCTAGCGTCGTAACACATGTTAAAAGAAAAGTAACAGTTGAAGAAGCTGGGTTGAACAGTTAAAAAGAATTTCATTCCAACGGCTCATGAACCTTTTGGATTTATGTCCCGGTGCCTGGGGACTCACTTTGATGTTTAAACCTTTTGATACAGTTTTACTTTGAATGTAACCATCCATGGACGTGTCTTCTTTATATACCAACATTCCAAAAGACGAATGAATAGCAGCGTGTGAAGAGGCATGGAACACTCGTAGTGAAAAAAATCCTCCAACTGAGTGCCTTGTTACACTTCTGAAACTAGTGCTGGAGAACAAAAACTTCTCTTTCAGTGACAAACACTATCTCTAGATAGACGGCACTAGTATGGGCACAAAAATGGCCCCGTCATATGCCAACATATTTATGGGCCAACTTGAAAACGCCTCTTGGCTAGTGTTCCATACCAGCCATTATCATGGTTTCGATTCATTTGTTTTTAAATGGACAGATTCGCAAGACCATCTTAATGAATTTCTAGAACACTATAACTCTTTCAACCATTCAATTAAATTTACATACGAAGCATCTATGGAGAAAATAAACTTAAAATGATACTACGAGTTACATCCAGAACGGAACCATTATAACGGACCTTCATACCATAAAAACGGATAAACATCAATTCCTTTCTCCTAAAAGTTGCCATCCTAAACACTCTCCATTGGTATCCCATTCAGCCATGCAGGCATTGCGAATCAAGAGAATATGCTCTACTGAAAATAAGAAAAATGCTAGACTTGGACAACTACGTAAACATCTAGTTGTTCGAGGATACAATAGCAACATCATTGATACAGCTTTCGAAAGAGCAAACAAAACTATTCGCTAAGAACTTCTAGAGTACAAGGATAAGAACAAAGAAGTCAACAGAATACCTCTTGACCTCACTTACCATCCTGATTTTAAAAATGTGTCATTCATTATTCAGAAGCATTGGAAAATTATAGAAAACGAATCAAATCTAAAAAAGTATTTTCCTCACCACCAGTCATGGCCTTCAGAAGACCTAAAAACATCCGTGACAAATTAGTGACATCTGTATTAGCAAAGCAGCCTACTCCACCTCCCGGTTGCTACAAACAATGTGGTCGAAGGAATTGCTTATGTTGTAAAGCTGCCAATACAAGCAGTTCTTTCATCAGCTCCGTTACTAAACAAAATTATACCATCTACTCAAATTCCAACTGTAAAACGGAGAACTCAATTTATATATTAACATGTAACACATGTGGCATTCAGTATGTGGGAGAAACAATGGATAAATTCAATATTCGGCTCAATAACCAACGTTCATGGTAAAAAAAAACAACAAAAACTGTCCTCTCACAAGACATCCTCGCTCAAAGAAACATCCTTTTGATAATGTTACTTTCCAAATCATAGAAGTCAACACCGAGTGGGACACCACGGCGAGAAGGAGAAGAGAAAACTTTTGGATCCACCAGTTCCACACTTTAGAACCGGATGGCCTTAACGAAAAAGACGTGAAGAGATACAGAAAAGATAAAGAATAATTTAATACACAGCATCGTCCTTTTTATCCTTTAATATTGGCCAATGGACGTTGCAAACTTCAACCACCAATTTTGTAGATAATCTTGAACTTCATCCGAATTATGTATTATTTACAAGGCAGCTAAATTCATGTGCAACATGTACATTGAGCTGCATATTTCTTATCATCTACATCCGATTTCACCTGGATAGATGCACGCTTGATAAAGCTAGTTTGTCTAGCAAAATATTGCGTTTATTTTTATCGTTTTGTAAATATTTTACATACTAAATAGTGTGTTAAAATTACATTGTTAGGCAATCTATATATATATATATTTATATATTATAAGAAAAGAAAAATGACGAAAACACAAACGGCAGTAAAAAAAACACTATACATAAAACCAAATGTTAGCAATACGAACTCGTAGAAACTGGATGTGAGTTTTAGTAATTTTGTCGGTAAATTGATTTTCTTATTAATCGTTCATCTGTTTTTTTTAGAAAAGTCAAGGTGCAATGTAGAGGACGCTGTCCATGCAAAAACAAACCATGTAGAAAGTGCTCAAAACGGAGAAGAGACCCTGTATGTGGTTCTGATGGAAAGACGTACCGGAACGAATGTAAAGCAAAATGTCAGTACGTAAAAATTCTCTACACCTTTAAAAAAACGAACAACAACTCTGCGGATGTATTCTACGTGACCTGATTTAAGGCAGTCTGATTCTTCTTTATACCTTTGTTTATGTAGTACAGTAACTTAAACCTAGTCAAATATATTTATTTCATCTGTAATTTCGTGAGATTGCAAAGTTGCACATTGCTCGAAAAGGACAAGGGGTGCCAAAACTGAATTTTGAATGAATGACATTCAAAAATGTACTATTTGATTCATAATTAATGCTTATTGGCTGAAACACTTCACGAAAGGACAACTGAAACTCTAAATGACTAAATAGAGAAATATGACGTATAGTTTAGAATTGAGAATGGAAATGTGTCAGAAAGACAACAACCCGATCTAAGTGCAGAAAACAGCCGAAGGCCACTAATGGGTCTTCAACACATGCCAGCTCCAGACCTCAATTAAACTGATTGAAAGATTATGTCTTCATCATATGAAAATCAAGCACAATCCCTCCCGTTAGGGGTTTAGTATATACATCATAAAATATATGAGAAGAACATAACCCATATCATGCCAACATATGGTTTTAGAATAAATGTGTTTATTTCCGATGCAAAGACCCTATGAGTGAATCAATATTTATACCAAATTATGCCATCTATAATGACCTGACAACAGTATCGTAGATATATCCCTTCTGAATAAGTCTGTTTAAAGGTTTGGTTAGCTTTTGGGGTGAATGTCGACATTGTTTTGCTTTGTATAGAATATTACCATAAAATATTGGATGTGAAATACCTGAACGTATAAGATGTCTGCATGTTGATGTATATTTACGAATGATGTCCTTGTGCCGATGATAAAATTTAGTAAATGTTTTGACTAGTTTGTGATATCGAAAACCCTGGTGTAATAATTTTTCAGTAATACAGAGGTTTCTTTCGTTAAAATCAAATACGTTGTTACATACACGAGCGAATCGAACAAGTTGAGATATATAAACACCATAAGATGGTGACAAGGGAACGTCACCATCTAAAAATGGATAAATAACAATAGGAAATGAAAAATCATCTCTTTTATCATAAATTTTGGTATTAAGCTTCCCGTTAAAGATATAGATATCAAGATCCAGGAAAGGGCAGTGTTCTTTGTTAGTATTAGCTTTATTTAAAGTCAGTTCAGCAGGATAAATCTCTTTAGTGTAGATACTGAAGTCGTCATTATTGAGAGCTAATATATCATCCAAATATCTAAAAGTGTTATTTAATTTTTGTATCAGATGTTGTTTCGATGGGTGTTTGCTGATTTAAGTCATAAATTGTAACTCATAACAATACAGAAACAGGTCCGCAATAAGTGGTGCACAGTTAGTCCCCATTGGAATTCCGAAAACTTGACGATATACGGAATCTCCATAGCGAAAAAAAAAATGTTATCTAGTAGTAAAAATTCAAGGGCAGTTATCGTATCAAAGCAGGTCCAATTGACATAGTTCTTTTGTGTGTTGTTACTAAAACATGACCTAAAAGAGTTAGAACATATATATTCGCATTCTGACTATTTAAATGCCCATTTAATTAGGTGTGTGAAGTTTTTCTTAATAAGATTATGAGGCAAAGTGATATATAGGGTAGAAAAATCAAAACTTTGAACAGATTCGAAATCACCAATATAAGCATGCAATTTATCAATTACTTCCAACGAATTTTTAACACTCCAAAAGTAATTAATTCCACTATTTTCAAAGGCCTTATTTGAACAATTTATTGCCAGGTTTTTGATTTTACCAAGTGTACTAGTAAGTAGAATAGACAGTTTAGTAGTTGAACAATGTCTTGAAGACGAAATAAATCTATATTTGTAAGGTGTTTTGTGCAGCTTTAGAAGCCAGAACGTAGTTGGAACTTTCATTGTATTTGGTTCTGCTTGTAAAGAGGTAGCTAAAAGTTTATGTTTGCTACTGATGTCATTTTCCGAAAATGGAGTCAGTTTGAATGTTAGTTAATTCGTGATTTCCTTTTGCAGAACCTCAATGTAAAATTTACGTCAAACAATAATGATATTATTAGCAGCCTTATCAGCCGAGACAAAAACAAATTCCTTGGCGAGTTCTTTTAGCTTATGTTTGATATGAGAAATAGGGCTATTATGGTTGTTGTTAGGAGTAAAATGTTCTTTCAAATGTTTAATACGAATATCAACTATGTTCATTACTGAATTAAAAAAAGAATCTAAGGATTTTTTGTCAGCCTTTTCTCCATGTTCTCGTTTTATCCATTTTGAGCAGTAAGTACGGAGTGAGTCGTAGAGGATGTTACGATACTCATTCCAATTAATAATTGACGGGGGACGATATTTTGGTCCTTTACTGAGGAATGATTTCAACTCTCGGTCATGAACGATGTTAAGGTCTCCCGTTATAACATGGGAACTGGGGCCATACATGTATTCGGAATTACTGCAATTTCATGACGTAGGTGTATTGTCACTGATATTAACATCTTTACACACATCGCTATAATTAAACACATATTTCCGGATAGAAAATAAGAGGGAGTTCAGTATTATCAAAATAGCCAGGAATTTGTTCTTTAACAGAATGATCATTAAAAATACCGGCAATATTTACAAAATCAAAACCTTTATTGACATATTTGATTTTGATAAAATGTTTTTTATGATCTTCAATGCGATCAATTTTGGGAAACAGTTAAGAATAACAATATGCAATAATTTTAATTTGAACGATTTCATACTTAGGACTGCAATATGGAATTGTGTTGCAATCCTCTAAAATTTAATGTATTTTATTAACAGGTAAAGAACTTATGATATATTGCGATCAGGAAAAAAACGTGCACGTTTGTCTGTCCTAAATATATTTAATTTCAGGAATGTCAACTTTCAGTTTCCAAAGTTAGGCCGAACATATCTTACAAACTTTAATAAAAATATTTGATGCCCTTGTCCTTTGATCGCTGTCTGGCCTCTAGAGTTCAGGTATAGTATGTATTCAGTTTCCGTTCATTATCCATGAAAAATATGTTTTGGTAAATTTCCTTAACGTTTCTAATCTTCAAACAATTGTTTGATCTTAATGCCGTTGAAATCGCACACTGATCTCGAATGCAACGAAACGTTTACTTATCATTCTTCAAACAAAAAAGGCGCTCCAAAAGCATGCGTCAGTACCTTAGAAAATATCGCGCAATCATTTATTAGATAGCTTGCCAAGAGAGCTATGATTTTATAAAAATTATGCTGAAAAGTGATCAATAAATATTTTGAATACAAATAGAGATATTTCCTGATAAAATAGAAGACTGAATTAAATGTTAAATAAACACAGAAAAACATGTATAGGATATAAATGAACACTTTCTATCAATTCACTAATAAATGAAATAGCTTCCAAAAAAGCTTGAATGACCTCAGAAAAAAAATTGCCTGTTATCGCTTATTGATTCATTGCAAAACTATACAGTTCTATGCCGTAACTTGACCAATAAACATTTCAGCTTATATTGATAGTTATGTAGATTGATTTTAAAAAAAGACCAACTGCTGGAATTTTGCAAGTTTGTTTTAGAAAGCTTAAACTTAGTTAACCTTCAAATTGTCGTTAAAGGAAAGTGGAAATTAATTGTCAAGGGCCATGTCCGTGTCGTTGCTCACGCCTCTGTCCTCCAATACGTGATCCTGTGTGTGGAACTGACGGCAATACTCATGATAACAGTTGTGTGGCTATGAAATGTCGGTATTTAAAAAGTACAGCTGTTTGTGTTAAAATGCAAAAATTAAAAAAAATGTGCATAATGTTCAATTTTAATCATTTTTTTATAAAGTTTCATTCAAGAACTATGGAAGGTCTTTTTTGCCGAAGGGTGTGTTTTCCGTGCAGAAAACGTTGACCTTTTCGGAACTCATGAGTTCACAATTAGTTTTTGAAAGTTTTCTTTAGTTTTCTGTACTGTATGGTGTTATACAAACTGTTTCGTTCGTTTGTCTGTTCGTCATTTTTGCCATCATTTTTTTTCTACGATTCGCAGTTTTGATTGCCTCTGCAGTGTCTCTTCCTTTTTCAATGGAAACATGAGGCTCCTTCATTGATGTTTTCTTGTGATTTCATTTTATTGTCTGTTTTTTTAACTTCGCCTAGCTTTTGTTCCTTACTATTTCTTAACCTCACACACACCCTTTGTGTTAAAGGTATATATATGTTGTAAGAGCGTTAAAGGTTCATGCTTATTGTTAACTATATTTATGTGCAGACTCTTGATAAAATACACCTATTTTTTACTTACATACTTAGTTCAATAGGTATGGAAGATTAACTACAAACAAATCAAAATTCAGACAATCAAACAATTAAATAAAAAAAAAAAAAAAACCAATACAAAACAGGTAAATTTCGATATGTACGTAGACACTTAGTGTTCGAAATTATAAAAAAAAAACATAAGTTACGTGATTTGATCTGTCTTGGTTCAGTTAACAGAACTTTTCATAGTGGTAACGATTGGCCTCGGTGGTCAAGTTGTCTATGTAGTGCTGAAAGTGGTGTTAAAACACCAATCAATCAATTAATCATAGTGGTAAAGTTCAGAGCAGAGAAGAGTGTGTATGGTTATTAATATGAAACTGGTACATTCTTATAGAAAAGTTAATGTTAAATGCAAAGGACGATGTCCATGTGGGAAATGCGACAACTGTCCAAGGACAGTGGACCGTGTTTGTGGAACAAATGGAAAAACATACCAAAATGCATGTCAGGCAAAATGTGCGTAAGTAAGAAATTGTTGTTTAAGTTTCTCTCAATTATTCAAAATACAAAAAACATACTAACTTTATCAATGATCAAATTTTCAAAACCATATAAAACCTCCTTTTATTTGTTATCCAAATGTATAGGAATTTTAGAAACAAATACATCCTTTAAGCACGTGTTATTATTACCTTCATTTTTTCATTTAATTATCATGTAGGGAATAATCAGGAAAATTAATCAAATTTATTTTCATTGAATAAAAATGTATCAATCCGAGCTTAGATATAAGAAGATGTGGTATGAGTGCCAATGAGACAACTCTTCATCCACGTCACAATTTGTAAAAATAAACCATTATAGGTCAACGTACGACCTTCAACACGGATCCTTGGCTCACACCGAACAGCAAGCTAGTTTGAATAAAAAAAAATCGGACTTTTTGCTCTGTAAATATGCGATACAATTTGTTGCCGCTTAAAGAAACGGACCACTTACAATTCTGTCCTATAGTCAGCCCCTGGCCTTTTGAGATAATGTCCCGGTACTATGGCGTTGACCTTCAATTCATCAGCCATTTCTGTTTCTGACTGACAGTATTAATTATTAAGGGTAATCGAAATGGCAACACGCACTATGTTTCGAATTGTTTTGGTGAAGATAAAATTACACTATAACATCCTCTTGATTGATTGCCGGATTTTCATTTTTGTTTGCTAAAACATTTTCTTTTAAGAGAAACAAATTTGCATGTAATATTATACATATTATCATTTAGTTGGACATATCTAAAAAGCTAATTTTTCGTACAGACAAGGCAAATTTAAAAAGAGGAAAGTCCATAAAACCTTTCAAAACCAAACGCAGGAAAGTTGCAACCTTAGTTTTAACAACTTTAGTAATACTTCTTTAACACTAAAAGACACACAATAGATTTTTATTCTATATCTATTATGATTCAACTTAATGTAGTTAAATTTTCAAGTTTTAAGGCACAAGGCTGGTCAAACATTTTGAATATTTGAAATTTGAGTGTAGAGAAATGTCGTATAGCATGAGATGCAAAAATATTGGTAGAATGTGTTTGACATTTGACCTCAATTTTTACTTAAGTAGAACTGAGAACAAGTTAACCTTATTTTTTTACCTGCGTCGCCAAAGGCTAAAACAGGTCGGGTTGCCACTCGACACTGATCGTTCGTCCGTCAATCTATCCGAATGACCTTGGGTAGAAAACTTTCGTTTTGATCAACACACTTTTTGTATAAGTATTTAATCATTTAAAAATTAACTCTATTGACCATAAGGGGCTCATTCAAAAGGTTATTGAAACACATCATGTGATGAATATTAGTTTATAATATGCGATCAACGTGTATTGCCCTTTCCGACAGATCAGAGATATGAGACGAATACCATTATATACTGGAATGCCCGGAACTAAAAACGCGAAAGCAAATTGTGATTACCTCCGCATTTTCATGTTATTAGAATGTATTTAAATGGAGACAATTTCTATTTTTAAAAGACCGTGCTAACTGATGGAAATAATAAGGGAGCAACCATTAAACTTCAAGGGGTTTTCTGTCTGAGTCAGAAATTTGTTTTCGACGCTATCAATCAAATTATTTTTTTTCTTCAAAATTTAACACTAAAAGGTATGGGGAAAATCTGGATTCAGAATATTGTTTTTTTGTAATCTGCTTGACCACACTATTTATTTTTATCAAATTGGGGACCAGAATATTTTTTTTAGGAAAAAACCATAGCCCCCCCCCCCCCCCCCCTTTGCCCCCCCCTTTAAAGTTAAATGGTCGTTCCCTAAACGAAACAATCAGTCCTCCTGGCTAAACCACATTACCATGATGCTTCATATCATATCTCTTACTACATTAGTGTTTACTCGCCTTTACTTTAATATGCATTATTTGTATATCTTTATGCATATCATTCCCTTTACCTGGATATAAAGTTATACTTTTAATTGTCAACCTGGCTGTTAAGAAATTTCTACATTTGGACGTACACATGTATGTTGTCATGTTAACATAGTGTGTATAGACAAGTGTCTGCTGTTGCAGACCATGGTTAACCTATGCCTGTTTGTTTTGCGTTATGTTAGTGGTTTTCTTTCTCATTGACGTATACCTTTATTCTTAATAAGAATTAATACTAGAACACACCCGCGACATCCGCGGTCCGTGACTGCATCAAAGTATCTAATTATATATAAGCCTTACTTTTTCCTGGATTTTTAGTAGTCGTATTGTCATCTGATAAAGTCATGCTGATTATAAGATACACAGTTTTCTCTGCTCTCAAAATCTTTCTGTTTGAACCCGTCGATCTGGAACTTGTTGATTATTGGTAATATTCATTATTTGGAAAACAAAAGGGCCTGGAATGGTGTAATTTTTAATCAACACCATTGTCCTATTTTATTTATATATAAAGCTTATTTCTTTGATTCGCTGTTTTTACCTCATGTCGGCTAACAAATTGGAAACTACCTTCGCCGTATATATTTTGTTCTGGATTTTTAGTATTCGTATTATCATATTATGAAGTCATGCTGATTAAAATAATACAAACAGAAACTACATGTGCAAATTCCAACTACACCGTTTGGTGGTGCGCCTGACAGAGGCGAAACGTACAGATTATGTAATAGGTATCAGGTGACATAGACTGTTGGTATCGGTATCGGATTCGACCCGGAACTTGTTAATTATTGCTCATATTGGTTAAGTGGAAAACAAAAGGACATGGAATGGTGTAATTTTTAATCATCACCATTGTCCTATATTAGTTATACATAAAGTTGAATTCTTTGATTCGTCGTTTTTACCCCATGACGGCTAACAAATTGGACCTCTGTGTATTATAGATATATTGTTTTTGAAGGAATGTAAAGATTAAATGCAATAAAAAGTGCCCATGTGGTTCCACCACGTGTTCCAAGCGTGATTGTCCTTTTACTAAGCCTGTGTGTGGTGTTAATGGAAGAACATATGATACTATATGCGAAGCAAAGTGCAAGTAAGTCATTGATAACATGCTTATACTGTTGATACATTGATTTTCGTGTGTTTTGGGATTTTTTTGTTTTTTTTGTATCCACGAAAATAAATGAATTCAACGTAAAATAGTTTGAAGATAAAGATGGCAGATAATAACAATGATGATATTAAATATAACAACATTGAAGAACATTTTAAATAACCGTAAATTCCGAAAAGTTGTGCGAATACCACTAAGCAAACATTATTCAGAAAGGTGCAGGTTTTATCGTTACACAATCGCAACTGCTTTCAAGTAAATAAAGGTGCTCCGCTCCAACTCGTCATAATTATGACTAAAAGTGAAAACATAGGGTACATACACAAAGCCAAACACAAATATGTTTCTGGTATTATGATTAGAATCTTTTAGATATCTTTTGTATTTTTGTGTCATTTGGTAGCTGTCTCATTGACGTATTCTATGTATCTCCTTTTTCTGATATACATGTTTTCTAGTTTTACCGCAAATTAAGATGCAATTAGAATTGAAGTATTACAAATTGAGGTTATTTTGTTTAAAGACAATTGATATATATATATATATATACGTATGTGCAAATTGTTGACCGAAAAGAATTTCATATATTATTGATATTCATCGATATTTTGCGTTCGAAAAACAGCATAACTTTGTTTTTTGTACCCCAAAAAATTTCGTACTAGTATTTGGTATTCATAAATATGAGCACATGTAAAACTCATTAAATATTTACAGGAAAGGTGTTAATCCTATAGGCAAGAATCTTGGTAAATTATTCAATTGACAATTACATGCTACCTATATCTGCGGATCGAAAAGGTAGTTGAAAATTCAAAATAAATTAAAGCATTTTACATAATACTGCGTGGAAGGATCTTTTCAATGATGTCATAAATACATTTATCATGACGCCATTATCCTGTTTTTCCATCTTATATTGTCTCATCTTTAAAATAGGCATGAATGAAAATTTTGAATAAAAAGTTAGATTTCAGTGACAAAGTAGATCGAATAAGGCCCTTATCACAGATGGATCTTTAGCCGTCTAAGGTCAACATTATCTGTATGACGAAAGCACCTAGAAAGTACCAAATAGGCTGTTAAAATAAACAATTTTTAACTTTGAGCAGTACGAAATCCCACTAAAACCAAGAAAAGTATTGTCAGAAACTGAGATAAGTTGATATTCCTCAATGTTGGCTACTCGAGAAGAGAATATCTACTGCGGTAAGCATAACAAGCGTTATTCGTTCGATATTTATCACCAATAACTTCTACCAAAATCATTTTTAAAGCATAGCAATACATTCGTTTTCTTGATTAAAAAATGTAAATATATGTTGGCCTTAATGACAACAGTTACCAAGCAGTACATGTGACATGCAATCCTGCTCTTCGTTATGTAATACATTTATTGCAGGAGAGTCATGCATTTGCAAATAGACAAGTTTGTAATAATTAAGTCTCTGTGTGTTCACGCTACAACTATATGCATAGGGGTTTTTATTAAGGACATAAACGGTAGATTTATCAGCTAGTAAAGCATGCAAGTACTTTTGGTTTTTATTCTTTACTCGAAATGACTTATACTTGTAACAAGATACTGTATTAGAAAATAATTTAATGACTTGTAGTACATTGTCATGCATTCTAATAAAGGGGATCAATGAACGTCTAATACTCCTTTACAAACATGAAATTGTATACAAAGTACAACATCATTTCATTCTTTCTTTTAACGTAAACATTAAAAATAATTTTAAATATGACTAAAAGGAGATGCGGGGTAAAGCTAACGAAAACTAACCAAAATACATCCAGAGGTCAACATACATGTTTCCTATAGAGATGTCTATACAATATCTCAAACAATACATCGCCCCTAATCTGTCAAGAGGTCAACATGCATGCTTCCTATAGAGATGTCTATACAATATCTCAAACAATACATCGCCCCTAATCTGTCAAGAGGTCAAAATGCATGCTTCCTATAGAGATGTCTATACAATATCTCAAACAATACATCGTCCATAATCTATCAAAAATTTGAATGAAAGAAACAGAAACGATAAAAGATGTGCCATCAACTCCAAATTATTCAAAAAAGTTATGACGTAAGACAATCACATACAAGGTTCATGACAAAGCATGTTGGGCACTCCTGTTGAGGTTCATGCGATTTCCTCAGTTTTGTTTGTAACCATGATTTGGACCTTCTTAATCGGTTGATGAGATTTGAACAACGTCCGTAAACTACTGTTGCCTAAACTTATCACAGGCATATGAAAATGTGACAAGCTTGAACTGTTTTATATTATCACATCCTATCCCTTTTAATCTTAATCAAATCCGTTTTGGTAAGTCATGCCAAGATCCTACAAAATAATGTAATTTTAATCATGCTAATCATTATGTCCACTTCTAGGAATGTCAAAGCAGCATGTACTGGTCGTTGTCCGTGCAGGAAATGTAAATGTCCGAAATTGAAGTTTCCGGTGTGTGGATCTAATGGTAGGACCTATGATAATTACTGCAAAGCAGGGTGTGCGTAAGTATCTAGATATATATTATAAATTGTTCCATCGTGTTTTGGTTTATAAGAATGCATTCCATTCGTTGGTATACAAAATTATCGAATTCAAGACATTTGTTTTTTTAAGTAAAGACTTACTAGTAGTTCCTTCCTTCCACAAGGTAGATTTGTGTCTTTATAGGTCCTACGTTTTAGTTAGGCAAAATTATTATTTTTCAAACTATCCAAGAAATTATGCGAATTTTTATGTCATCATAAGTGGAATTGTTTTCTGCAGACATAAATAAAACAAAACGTGTTTTCTTGTTTGAAGAGTAGTTCAGGGGAAGCTACTCCTGCTACACAGAGGTAACTAAAAGGGTTTTATATTTGACAATTAAGAATTCATCACTTTTAAACGTAATGTGAGAACATTTATTTTTTTAAAGCAGGGTTAAGTATTTTTAGACAAATAAATCATTTTAGCAATTTCAATAATCTATTTGTAGTAGCAATATTCAGAAACAGCAATTTCACAAACCTTGGTTTCGAAAAAAATGAATTTTGCAAATTTTTCAAATATTCCCCTCCCAATTTTTGGTATTTTGATTTATTAATGGTTGAACTATGAAAAACTTTTTTACCATGTCTGAAAAATCTGGGTTGAAAATTCTCAAAGCTTTCAAGTAGGGTAAAATTGGAATCCCAATCCACAAGGAAATTGACACATTTTTGGGATAAGGTCTTGACATAACTGTTGAATAATATTTTTGACTGAATACATATTTTCAAACCAAACTAAGTCACAACAACAAAAACAATTTTCTTTTTTATTCTCTAAAAGACAGAATAAATTCAGTTGTATTGCATATTTTAAGCCTTTTTTCCCTAAAAACAATGGACCATAAAGTGCCCAAGCAGTTGTAAAAGCAACAAAAAATTACAAGTTTGAAACCAATTCTGTGATATATTATGTCCACATCATTTTGATGCTAACAGACAATGACTCTCAATATTCATGCACGTAGAAGGGGCATTGACTGTATGTACTCTAAAAGAACTTTGGATCGGTCTTAATCCACATCTAATTACTAGTTGTGCCAGTTTTGATTTGTTGATAGGATATGCTAGAAAATTAAATAAAAGTTTCATTGTACATTTGTCAAATTGAATAATTCAGCAATCTGATACTCTTATACAGATAAATCAAATTTTAAGATGATTATACAGAATGAAAATGTACGATTGGCTAAGCGCATTAATGACAATCTCTGTACAACAAAGGAGTTAATTCTTAACAAACTAAGTATTGGTAAAAAAGGAACACTATTTTTAATCTGATATTATCAAAATTTGTTTCTTTTCAGGAGAACAAAAACGTCATGCTTTGGTCGTTGTCCTTGTCGACGTGCTAAAAATTGAAACAGGCAAGTTCCTCAATATACAATTAGGTATATTCTTATTTTCTTTATATTTAGCAAAACTTGTGTATTGCTACTGTACCACAGCAAGAAAAATACAGGAATTAAAATAATTCTTTTTCATCAAAATGCACATTCTATTACAATAACAAGTGATTTTGAACATCAGCACTCCATACAAACATGTACATTTTGCCAGACAAAGCTTTTGATGGGACGACTAGCTTTGTAGTTTTAGCTTCCAATTTGTCAGCAGTAACATACCCTCTGTACCATCGTATATTTACATTTCACAAATGATACATTACACTGGTGTATGTCCACACTATACGGACTTCATTTCCAGGACTGCATGTGCTCTTTACACAAATACTGCTTAAACTGAGTTATGATAATTAACGACTGAATTGACGCTATATAAGATTTACCTTTACCATCACGAATCGGTTTACTGATACGATATGTCTGTGTCTTAACTCACTAGCGACATGCTTTCGCAGTTTAAGATCTTCCGATATCGGAATAATCGTCTAATCTGTAATTTTACCGGTTGCGTCCTTTTCTCGCTTGTGAGATTTTTACTAATCCTGGACCCGTATAACGGATGATGCATACACAACAAGAGACGCTTGCTTACCCTGTCGACCAGGGATGGGGGACTTGTAATCTGTTATCGTAATAGATTGTAGTTGATTACATTTTCTTTCAAAATAATCGACAGTTTTACTAAGTAACCTGTAATTGTTCAAATTTTCGATTACATGTAATCGTGATTTAATCGATTACAGCAAGCCAAAAAAACATGATGTAATCATCGATAACTTTTCGATTACATTTCGATTACTTTAGTAAAATAGTTTGATGAAATATAACCTAATTGAAGTGAAAATAGACAACTCCATGTTTTCTTCAGTTTATGATAGCTCATTTTAAATGTACAAATACAATAGAATAAATAAATAAATGAAATAGGTCTTGAGAGATCTATCTTGACAATCATTCAATGCCCTTCAACATGTTCAACTTCGTTCTTTTTTTTTTACCTTTTATAACTTTTTGTTTCCAGCATCCCTGATGAGTCTTTTGTAGACGAGGTCTCGCATACAAAATTTTAATCCTTGTATCTGAGATGAGTTTATTTAAGTCAAGACCTTTTATATTAACAATAAATAGTAGTCTAGGTTAAGATCTTTACTACAATAGAGTAAAACGCTTGATCGTATTTAAATTTCTTAAACCATAACAGTTTAAGTTTAGAAATCATGATGTTATGATATGATACAAAGTCCTTGTGGTACTAATAGATACATAATTATAGATTCCTCTTTGACATTAAAAGTATATAATTGTTTTAATTAAAGAGGAAACATATAAAGATCTCCACTTCCTTCAAGTCTTTACTGATTAGATAATCAAAGACTTTTAAACAATTATATGTAGATATATTAAAATATATATGTTTATAATGAGTACAAAACAATTAAAGTTAAGTCCGCATGTCAGCATGTGCAAAATATGGAGAAATTGATCCCAAAAACAGAAGTGAAAGCGCAGAAAATTGTTTACCCCTACCTCATCATTTTCGTATTGAAAACCAATATTTTAAGTATTTTGTAATTTATTTTGGTATAAGCATTCATCTAAAAAACAACAACCTATACCACATTTGAAAATAATGCCTTAAAAGAGGGACGAAAGATACCAGAGGGACAATCAAACTCATTGATCGAAAACAAACTGACAACGCCATGACCAAAAATAAAAAGACAAATAGACAAATAATAGTACAGATGACACAACATAGAAAACTAAAGACTAAACAACACGAACCCCACTAAACACTGGGGGGGGGGGGGGGGGGGGGGGGGGGAGAGGAGGAGGAGGATCTCGGGGGCTCCGGAAGGGTAAGCAGATCCTGCTTGTAAATGCATGATGTTTTTGTAAAGTTTTAATTTCCATTAAACTATGTTGAGCAGTATAATTCGAATTGTATATAATTTTCTTTACTTATCTTTTTTTTTATTTTGTATCATGTAATTTACAGTAATAGGAAAGTTATGTCATTACTTGGGATAAAGTAATCGATCGTAATCGATTACATATAAAAATCAAAACAATCGATTATTAATCGATTACACAAAAATCTTCCAAATTATGACTCAATTTCTTTTGACAGTTATCGTTCCAATCCCTTCTGTCGATGCACCCAGTCTCGCTCCTTTTGGAGTTCATGCTTTTCTCTAAGTTTATCATTGTTACCTTTATCGATTAATCGATTTATGAGATTTAAACATCGGTAAACTACTATTGCGTGTAAATTCGTGAGAAGTTCGATCGTGTTAAGGAAGTTAGCTTGTCATGTTTTGGGATTTTGTCAGATTTTCGGAATCCTCTGGTTTTATCCATTTGAATGCCTTTAAACAATTTGCCCCCTGACCCCCATTTTTCTTTTTAAAAATATTGTACATGCATAATTATAAGCCATCTGTAAAAGTCTTATAAAATCTTAATTATCTTTTAATAGTTTTTGATAACTTTAACTTGTCAATGATACAGCTATGAAAAATCAAGAGTGGTTATTTTCCCGCCAAAATTTCAATGGCTAATATCTCGAAAACAAGCACATTGACCTATATTTTATTTTTGCTCTCTTTGTTCCTTTATTGATCCCCTATCAACATATACTAGTGTTATGAAAAGCTTGTTATTTTGAAACTGAGTAGCGAACTTCCTTAAGAAATGATTGAAGTTTCTGTTGCTGAATTTAAACAAAATGTAGACTGAAAGTATCTAATCCTTAGATAACCACAAGGTATCTTTAATGTAAGATTATATTTGATAAATGTATATGCGGCTCTAAGAATAATATGATAAGTAAACTGTAAATACGTGGATTTTCCATAAAGAACTGTTGAATGGATACAAAAACAAAAAATCAAAACAAACATTCATTTTAAATTAAATACTCGTGTTTTGTTAACCACAATTGACTTCAAATGACTTCAGTGTTGTCTTTTGTTTTATTTGCTGACTCACTAACTCTACGCTATATCTACTTCCATTCATAGTATTACGATTAAGGCATCATTACCATAATTCTGGAATTTTAGGTTCGATATACTTGTAGAGAGCAATCGATGGTTCAAAAAATTAAAATCTAAATAAAGTGGGTTTTATTCCAAATTGAATATGGATCGAGGTTTTAAGAGGTAACAAAACCAATAGTGTAGCTTTATAAATAATGAACATAAGTGTTGGAACGAAATGCTTCAAGTCAGATATATCAGGATTCGTGTGTAACGCCCTAGTTTTATACGTTTTTCTAAAGCAATGTTACGGTTTACGGTCGCATTAAGCATTCATTTACCTTCATTATGACTTTCATGACGAGATTAACCAATATCAAGATCTTGCAGACAGAAATTTCATTAGTAGACGTTATAGTTTGTCGAACAGAAAGTTGAAAGGATCGTTCCCAAATTCCTGTTGATGAAGCGAGATCAAGATCCGTATTTCAATCAAAATTGGTATAACAGGAAGTAATAAAAATTGTTCAGATATCCATTTTGTTATTGTGATGATTAATACTATGTTTTTATTTTATTTCAGGTTATGTTGGAATTTCAGATAGATTAAATAAAGAATTGACAACGCAATAATTTCAGTATTATAATGATCCTTAATAACGTGATATGTTTTATATAACTAAAGACAGCAACTGACGAGGTTAAACTAGTTTAACGACACACAATAATCCCCCTCTTAATTTTAGTGAAATGAAGTTATGAAGAAACGCGTCTTGTTTCATTTAGGTGTTCCTGGTGAATTTTAGCTTCGAAAATAACATGAATTGATCTCACACATACATACAAACAGAAACTGCACGTTAGAAAATCAGTCTTCAAGTTTATTTTGCTTCCTGGTACCATATCGTAAATATCATTACGGTCAAATAATATTTGTTCGGTAAATGTGATGTAATTGGCATCAGGACTTAAATGTACAAAATGTATTAAATTACTTTCCACATATGCATTAAACCATCACAATGTTTCAAATTAAAAATAAGGAAAACATAAAATGAAGAAATACAGACAACATTCCACAGCGGTCTAGCAACTCATTAAGGCGTCCATAAAATTATTGAACAGATGACTTTAAAAAATTAACACAAAACGTTATAGATTTCATGCGTTTAACTGTACCATGAACACGAACACTAAATTTTGTTTTGTTAACTAAAAACTCATAAGTCGAAATAAACTGACAATGCCGTAGCAAAAAAAGAAGACGACCGAAAGACAAATAAATCTAAAATAATATAGAAAAACTAAAAACTAGACAACACGATGGCGTCCATAAAATTTAACTGAACCAAGTGGACATTCAAAACTCATAAGCCGAGATGAACTGACAACGCCAAGGCAAAAATAAAGAAAGGCGACAAAAGAAAAACATGTCCTCAAAACACCACATAGATAAATAAGGACCGGACAGCTAGAACCCCACCAAAAACGTGGGGTGATTGGGTACTCCCGAAGTTTAAGAAGATCCAACTCCACTAGTGGCACCAGTTGTGTTGCTCATGATAATTACACATTATGTGATATAACAATCGTGGAAAATAAAACTTGATTGTGGCTACGACAATTGGAACATATCAGTGGTCATCTATGACACAGATATCCCCAAAACGGCCAACCAACTCTTGATTGTGTCAGTACAACTTTCGAAGAGACGGATTCACATATACCACTTGGAAACCTAGGTTCAATAGCTTCATTGTAAGCAGCAACTGTCTATCAAGGAAATCGTTATAGAAACTCATGCTAGTATATCGTATATACACCATATACAAGGGATGCTACATAGAAATGGAAAGTTCAAAATTGGAAGGCTAAAATCATCCCATTTGTCGTATAGTTTTAATTTCAATCGTCCCTCATTGTCAATTTCTGATGTAAGTCAAGATATGAGGCAGACTTATCTGTATCTGTGGTATCCTTTATTTCATGATCTATGGGATAAATGC